TATAAAGGCCACATAACCAAACCTTGTTTGCTCTAACAACCATCAGTGGCATTGCTGGAAAAGATCATCACTGAAACTCTCATCCACGTGGGTTATGGAATATTATACAATAGTAGCATTTCTTGCTACAGTGATCAATATTCTAAATTCTTCAGATAAGTTACAACTAGTAACTGCCCAGCATATCATAGTACAATTTTGCCAAGTTTCTTAAATCTCAGCATCGAAGACATCAGGGAAGTGGGGCCCTATTGGTCTTAGTTCTTAGAAATGCATCACCCTGCAAGCTTGTGCAAAGAAAATGCTGATTTCCTGAGTCTCTTACTCACCAGGTGGCCTTTCCCTGCTCATCGAGTGTGGTGTATAAGGAGGTAAGCACAGAGGGTCCCACGTAGTCTTGGGATTTAGAAAGGCCTGTGTGAAGCCTGTATTTTTCTCACCTTTACACAACTAGAGTCATTTGGAGACCTAACTTGGATCAGGAAATACCTCCATTATGTTGGTCTGTACACATTTTCTTGGTGATTGATTGGTGTGGGAGGGTCCAGCCATCCCCTGGGAAGGTGGTTCTGGAAGGTATAAGAAAGCTGAACATATAAGCAAAACCATGTAACCATATAAGCAAAATCTGCCAGTAAGCAGATTTGTCCACATGGTTCCTGCCTCTTCTCCTACTTGAGTTCCTGACCTGACACCCCTCAATACTGAATGTGATCAGGACATGTGAGTCAAAACAAGCAAACAAACAAAAACCCACAAACCGGTCCTCATCAAAGTTGCTTTTTTGGTCATATTCTTTATCATAGTGACAGAAAACAAAGTAGGACAACCTGTAATGCCAGGTTCTAGTCTTTCAGGGAAAATTTTGGTTTTTTATATTAAGGTTTTTGTACAATTTCATGCATGTATATAATACATTCTGATTACTGTTTTTCCCACCTCTTCTGTCTCTCTCTGTCTCTCTCCCTCCCTCCCCTCTCCCCTCTATCAATCAACCCCTTTCCTTCCAATCCTTTCCCAGATCCATATCTTTTGGGTTGGTTTTGTGGCCCATTTAATTTCAACAGGGCTATCCGTTTAACCATTATATCGAAACCGTCCAATGGAGCCTGGTGGACTCTCAAGTAGATACACAAAGCAAGGAAAGGAATGCTTCTTTTCCTGAATCAGTCAGAAGCAAAAATTCATCTGTGAGGAATAACGTTCCCTGAACTGCAACTCATCCATGTCTTACTACGTGGGCACAGGCATTTGCAGCTGCTATGAATTCATGATTATAGTGTCCGCACCTTGTCCAGAAGATGGCATTATGCACCCCTTCGTGCCATATCCTGGCTCTCCCACCTGCTCTTCTACAGTGTTCCTTAAGCCATAGGGGAGATGACATAAGTGTCTCCTTTAGAGATGATCACTAATCTGTCACTGATTCTCTGTCCCTTGTGAAATCATGTTTCTGTGCATTCATTATTCACTGAAAAGGGAGGCTACCCTGATTAAGGGTGAAAGTATCATTGATGTTTTACTATAAATATAACTACAAAGTAGGTTGGTTTCATGTCCATTCACCTAAACAATAGTATCCATTTTCCCTCTAGGGTCGGTGACGTCCTCAACCATGGGCTGCCAGGTTATTGACTAAGGCATGGATTCCCTCATGTGGAGTGTGCCTCAGATCCAGAGATAATGTGGCTAGTTATCCCCGTAATTGTGATGCCATTATTGTCCAACTGGGAAGACCTTGAATGAGCCTGTAATTCATAGGGTTCACAGCTGGATAGAGCTATGACTATGAATGCCTTTTCTTCCTTAGCAGCATGCATGGCTGTTTCTGAGGCTCTGAAAGGTAGCCCGCAGGGAAGAAACTATGAGCTCAACTTCAATTTGATTTACTATACCATGTAACTGAGGTGTGTGGTGTTGTCAGTAGTGGAGACTTGTCATCTTGCTTTAGTGGGCAATCTAAAGGAATGGGAAAGCCTACTCTGTTTTGGAGGAGAGCTCTGAGGCATCTCTGACCTCCAACTCATAAGGAGGTGTCAAATCCTTGGCAGTGGAGATTTATCAACCCACAACACCTGCATGCAGCCTTTTCTCTCCAGGCATGGTGTCTTAGCTTGCTTTCTATTTCTGAGGTAAGCATGATGACTAAAAGCAACTTATTGAGGAAAGGGTTTATTTTGTCTTACAGCTTATAGCTTATATGAAGAGAAGGCAGGACAGGAAGTGTAAGGAGGAACTTGGAGGCAGGATGTAGTTGCAAAGGCCATGGAGGAACACTGCCCACTGTTTTGCTTCTGTAGCTTGCTCAAATTTCTTTCTTATACAACACACTATCACCAACCAAAGTATGGCACCTGGAAGTGTACCGGGCCCTCCCACACCAAAACTTAATTAAGAAAATTCCCCTGGCTGGGCATTGGTGGCACACACCTTTGATCCCAGCACTCGGGAGGCAGAGGCAGGTGGATCTCTTTGAGTTCGAGACCTGACTGGTCTACAAGAGCTAGTTCCAGGACAGCCTCCAAAGCCACAGAGAAACCCTGTCTTGAAAAAACCAAAAAAGAAAAAAAAAAAGAAAGAAAATTCCCGATTTCCCTGTAAGTCAAACTGTCAGAAACATTTTCTCAATTGAAGTTCTCTCTTCCAGAGGATCCTAACTTGTGTCATGTTGACAAAAACTAACAAGGACACATAGTGGCTCCCTTCCCACTAAATGCCCTTCCCCTATAACGAAATTGATGCCTGCCTTATATGCCATCCTAGAGCCTTTATCCAGTGGCTGATGGAAGCAGAGGCAGACACCCACAGCTAAACACTGAACTGAATTCTGGAACCCAGTTGCAGAGGGAGGAGGGAAGAGCAAAGAGGTTGGGACAAGGCTGGTGAAACCCACAGAAACAGCTGACCTGAACAAGGGGGAGGGCATGGACCTCACACTGATGTCTGGGAGGCCAGCATGGGACTTATCCAGACCCCTGAATGTGGATGTCATTGAGGGAGCCTTGGCACTCTATGGGGCCTCTAGTAGTAGATCAGTATTTATTCCTGGCATAAGAAAGGACTTTGGGAGCCCATTCCACATGGAGGGATGCTCTCTCAGTCTGGACACATGGGAGAAGGCCTAGGCCCTGCCCAGGATGATATAACAGACTTTGGGGATTCCTCCATGGGGAGCAGAGAGGAGATGGGGTAGGAGGTTAGTGGAGGTGGGGGAGGAGAGGAGAGGGAGAAGGGATTGACATGTGAAGCAGGCTTGCTTCTAATTTGAACTAATAAAAAATAATTTCTTGGAAAAATATATAAATTATATGTCTTAATTTGTTTGCAAGATACTAGCTTTCTCTGTGGCATTTTGTAATCCCTTTTGTTTTGTTTAACCCTCTTCTCTTCATCCCTTTTCTACCCTATTCCATATTTAAACCTTTCTATCCATTACCCCCCCCATTTTATTTGTGTTTTTGTCTCCCCTCCCTAAACGCATCTTCTTACCAATGGCATCTTCCTATTTTCTTGGATTCTAGAGAAACTCTAATTTGAATACACCATACTGGATTACATAAAAGGGATACATGCAAGACTTACCATCTCTACTGCTGTAATAAGCTTTTATATTTGTTATGACCATTTGTCAATTTCCAGAAACCTGAAGCCTTTCTCTTCCAGCAGTTTCAAATTCTGAGGTTTTAAATATTTGGTCCATTTGGAGTTGGCAGGTTAACAGTGAACTTTCTCAACACAGTTTCTTGATGATGTCTGTCTTTCCACAATGTGTACTGGCAGCTTTGTAGAAAATCATGTAACCCACATTTCATGGACTTAAGTCTGAGTGTTCTATCTTGACAAGGATACTTCATAAGAAACTCTTCATTAGAACCATGCTGAGCTTAATGTAGCCAGAGCATTTGTGGCTACACCACTGTAAGGTGGAGATTTGGCAGTGTCTCACTCTAAAAGAGAGGCCACTTGTGAGAAGAATCAGTAATTGAAATATAGTGTGGTTGGACCCCAGTCATAAAACTGGGGAACCAGCATTGGACTGAACCAAGCCTTCTGAATATGGGTGTCAATTAGGAGGCCTGGCCAGTCTATGGAACCTCTGACAGTGGAACCGGTATTTATGCACAAATGGTCTTTGGGACCCCATTTCCCATGGAGGGATACTCTCAGCCTAGATACACGGGGGGAGGGCCTAGGTCCTCCCCCAAATGACAAGACAGACTTTGATGATCCCCATGGAAGATCTCACCCTCCATGGGGGAGGATAGGGTATGGGACAGGGGCAGGGTGGTTTGTAGGGAGGCATGGGAGGATGGGAGGGAGAGGGAACTGGGATTGCTATGTAAAATGAGACTGTTTCTAAATAATAAAAAAAGAAATATTGTGTGGTGACAAAACATGCATAGAAGCCTCTTGAGCTCAATTCTATGGGCGGCAAATAGACATGGCTTACTACAGAGATGTTCTCATAGCTTCTCTGGCATGGTCAACATATGCTAACCAGAGGGATGAAATGATAAATTGATGGACAACTTTTCACTGGAGTCGCATCGTTTTGGAGGGAGGCAGGGTCTTGGCTTTTACATAGCTGCCTAAGTAGCACTGAGAAGAAAATACATACTTGCAAAACACAAGAGCTATGTGGCTTGCCTGAGTGTTTTGGGGCATACAATGTAAGAAAGTGGTGCCTCCCTGCTGTGGGAATTTAGCAGCCTTTGTTATTCCCATAAAATAACTGTGGCTGTAAGTCCTTGATGTGATCTATAACTTAGCAGATCCTCTGCTTACCTGTAAAGATAATATGGCTGAAGATGTTTAATGACTTAGCCCTTGCCTGGCATGCCAAAGGGCCTGGGTTCAATTGTTCTCCAGGCAGACAAACACATGCATAGAACAGAACTGCCAGCCTGTACCATGTCATTGGAAGGTTCCTCCATCGACACAGTGGCAAACGATGTAGGAATTGCTTGTGAAATTGTAAATCTTTCCAATTTAGACTAAAGTGAAGCAAGAGCAGTATTTTAATATGCCTTAGGCAAGTACAATTAATTACAGTAGACTGTATTCCCCCCAGAGCAAGCAAAGAGATACAAATGAAAGATGAAGATATGTGGCCCACAGTGGAGAGCTCAGGAGCAGATGGGCACAACTGTCAGCTGGTTCCTGGCAAAGGGACAAAAGCAATCCAGTGTTAATGAGACACTTATTTCAACAAATGATGCTTGATAGTCAGAAGTCAAGATACAGATGAGACCCTAGACACTAACTGCACATCTCACTCAAGAACCCAAAAATTCTCAAACAGAATTGAAAGCATTGCAATATGATAGGAAATTTAGAGAAATTTTACATGCACATGGGCTTATTGATGGGTCTTTATATGCAACAAGAATGCATGATCTGTGTAAAATAATTAATTTGTCTTTAGTAAGATAATATTTTCTTTCTGTAAAATCTACTTCTCTTCAGCCTTGGAGAAATATTTCACACCGCATTTATGATATGCGCCTAGAATTTACAGTTACATAATTAGAATACAAATGGTCTAAATGAGCAACAAACAATATGAAATAATCATAAGACTTGCATGTGGATTGCAGAAATCTTGTTTTAGTTGTTTTTTTAATATTATGCCTTTCTCTTACTTAAAAGTAACTGCATAGGAACAATTCTCTTTTATGGAAAGGTGTGCAATAATATGCATATAACTGTTTGTGGAGTTCAAGTCTTGCACACTGCAAATACCTGCATATTATTATTATCCAGTTAAATGTGTGTCTGCCTCAGCCAGGAAGATCTGTTTAACTCAGGTTCTGTAGAACGCAACAGTCATCCTCCTAGGTTGTTCCCTGTTAATCTGCATTACGATGTTGAGAAAGTGGATCCTCATCTACAAACAAATAGCAAAGTGTTTTCCTCCTCCCCAACCATTTAAAACATAGTTGCAAACTTTTATTCTGTCTTTCTATGGTCCTAAGACTGTCCTCGTCTGCCCTCTGGTGTCTCCTACGTAAAATAACAGCTTTTAAACTTTTCCGATGTTAACATTAGCTTTACTAAGGCTATGATGACCTCTGGTGGCCACATTTTAAACTGCAATTTTAAAACCTTAACTCATTATAAAGTTTGGAGAATCCCTTAGGGAAAGAAACATATTTCCTACTCTGAGTCTAGCTTTTTTAATTAGTGCAGTTTCAATCATTTCCCTGTAAATGTCATAATCTGACTTGATTTTTTGCTGAACTAGATTCCACAGTGTACACGTACAATACAACTTCCACTTCATGAAAGACAGATGGAGAACTTCAAAACATTTTTTAATTAAAACTGGGATTTTCTGCATATGGTTCACAAGGTCCCTGAATGTACACTGGATTTTTTTCTTTTTCCATATTAACCATTTTATTATAGGCCCGGGAAAGCTTGTGAGAGAGAAACAGAAGAATAGAACTGGACAGAGAATGAGGAAAAAACGAAGAAGAAACAGAGAGCTGGATTTTTCTTTTCTTAGTAATAGTTTTTCCTACATGGTTAGTATTCTTTATTTGCAATATTTGGGGACAGAATTGTTTGAGTATCATATTTGGAAAATTTAAATATCCTCCTGTACTTAGAGGTTTCCAGTGATGGGATGGCCACTGATGCTCAAATCCATTAGTTTTAACAAACATCATGTACAAATATCCTGAAAGCAATACAATGGAGAATTTTTAGTAATTGTGTGAATGAAACATAATTTTATGATCTGGGATTTGCTATGTTGCATTTTATTGACATTAAAACTATTTCAATATAGTGTTTTTAGATTAGGATGCTTCCCAGGAGGTGGAATTTGTGAGGACAAGATACATGCTTAAAGGGGACTTATGGTCATAGTCATTTCCTTCCCCATGGGGGAAACTCAAGCAGATTTAATATCTAGTTCCTCATTGCAACATAAATACTATTGACTACTGCGTGAATCAGTGGAGATGCACAGATCCACCGGGGCCGTTTCTTAGGCCGAGGAACCTAAGTTCTACAGATTTTATGGTCTTAGGAGATGTTCATCTATTAGTAAGATTTTGGAGGCTGTCAGGTGTGCTATGGCCCCAGGTAGCATGGCTGGCACACTCATGAACTCACAAAACTTGTACAGGAGTGAGGCCATCATCACTTGATTTTGGATAGGGTAGGGACTCATGAGGCCATACCCACTGCAAAAAAGCTACTGACACTAGAAACTGCCAGGGAAATGGGAGTCACTTTTCTTTAGGGGTGCAGATACTGATCAATTGTCTATGCTCCAAGAAAAGGACTCACACCTGTGAACATGCCCCCAAACCCAATTAAGTCCAGTGGGTCATGCACAAAACACATGAAAGTCAGAGGGTAGGTCTTGAAAAACAGAAAGGATCCAGATGAAGTGTGCAGGCAATAAGAGAAGGTAATTGGGGTCAGTATGATCAAACAACAATAGGCATGAAGTCCTAAAACAATAAAACTACCCTTTAAAGTGGGTGGATGTTTACAGCATTGGCACAGTCATCCATTAAATTTCCAGCTGCTTTTCTCCAAGACCTTTTGGACTAAAGGCACAGGCAATGTGCTGAGAGAAGAGATCAGTGTGTGGCTCTTCCCTGTCCTTCAAGTGTAACAGGTATGAGGTTAATATGAAGGGGGTAACATTCCCTTGGAATTAAAAAGACCTGTAATATCAGATTACGCCATTCCCTACATGTATGATTTCTCTCTTAGAAAGGAGGTTTCAGCGGCCACAGTGAGACACCGTATGCTCAGAGCAGATAGCTACTGGTGCTGGGGTCCGGAAGTGACCAGTCTTCCAGATTCGTAGAGTCTCCTGTTGTGAGAATATTTAGAAGTGAGCCATGCACAGAGCTCTCCTTGTCCCAAATTCAAAGGCAGCTATTTGACAGTGTTTGGTACAGACATTTTATGATGTGAACTCCACCTTGACTAAGGACAAGCTGATTCTGGAGGGACATTTGAGAAGCTAAGACAAAGTTCTCTGTGGGTTGTTTCTGGGCAAAGGACTGACATTTCACACAATGGCATAAGTCATATGGAATAGAAGAGACAGGTAAGTAAGTGCTATTTCTGGGATACAATTCCTCAGGGATGTGGGGGCTGCTTTGAGTGTCTTCAGGGACACACAATGTGAGGTGTTATGGTGAGAGTGTCCCAAACCTTGCTGACCATGAGATTCCCAATATCCTAACCATGATTACACCTTGCAGACCATGTGAGTCCCAATATCTTAACCATGATTGCACTTTGCCTTTCATGTGTAGTTTTCGCCAATCCTCTCCGATTTTCAAGACTGGTGAGGCTAGGAAATTGGTGTAATGGTATAGCACTTGTCTAACATGTTGTTGTCTAACTTGTCTATGTTCCATCCCATGTCCAACAGCATAACCAAGAGAACAGGGAGTTCTGCTTGTAGCATATCTTTGGAGATTCTTTTAGGTGAAACCTTCAGCACAGGGCTAGCAGCAACTGTGATTTTGAAATTCTAGGTTTTGATGTTGGTTATTTGTAGAGGTAGCACTATTTAAATATCAAATTGGCAATCATATTTTCACTTAGGTACAGAATGCTTTCCCTAAGAGAAACCATAGTACTATAAGCGAGAGAGTGGACTTAAGAGGTTCATAGTGCAAAAGAAGAACCCAGAAATAGATGGGCAAGAAAACTGCGAGCTGACCACTGGAAGACTCAAAGGAAGGCAACCTTATGGATGAATCATTCCAGCAAATGACTGTAAGAAAATGACAGACATGAACCTTGTCATTTATCTTTCACCTTATAACACAAGAAACTCAACATGAATCCGAAAACAAACCACAAAACACAGCCATGAAAATTTAATATGAAAACTCAGGAGAAAATCCATCGTTTGCTTATTGATGGGCACTTAGACTCAATAAAATGGCAAAATTCCTTGAGAAAGAAAAGTGATGATTTGTGTTTACTAAAAAAAAAAAAAAAATGTATATTTTCTTGTAGGAGTCACTGTTAAGAAAATGAAAAGACAAGCTTTGACCTTGCCAAATCAACGGCAAGTTGCACAGACAAATGAAACCCTTGCAGTTCTCTCACAGAAAAACACATAAACAAACAGGTGACCCAACTGAGAAAGGAACAAGAAGAAAACTAGTCAAGTTTCCGAGACACTTGCCAAAAATTTGGAATGCCTCTTTATGTATTTTCTCCCCTACACCTTCCACTATGAGAAGTCCTCAAAGTGAGGACCAAGGATCCCACTCCTCTTGTGTAAGGAAGGAGATGAGATCTGTATTACTTCCTAGTTGGAGTTCCGAGTAATACTGTGTATTCCACACCCAACCACACTGCTGTGCATCTAAGATGAGTGATTTCCTAACTCCGAACAGTCCCTTATTTTTAGCTCTGTGAACTGATAGGCATCTATTGTTAAGTCTCCCAAATCTTGATTCTGTTCAATTTACACAATGCTGTTGGGAATTATTTCCCTCCCCAGTATAGAGACAGCAAGGTTTTTCACAATGAACAATAAGATTAATTTTTCATCACCAAATAATGGATTGGGTCTCACTGTAACACTTTCTCATTATGTAAATGTGTGTTCATGTTCCTGCATGCATGCATACTTACACATATACACATACCCACTACTTTGTTCTTATTCCGGGTCTGTCTGCCCTTTTTGTATACTCTTGATGCTCCCCCCTTCCCTAAAGGATTATCCCTTCTGACTTCAAAACACATATACGTCTTCTGCTCCAAACTGCAAAACATTTCTTTCTGCTTACCATTCCAAGATTGATCCTAGACGGCCCTCCGGTGGTCACGACGTGAAACATGGCTTTTTTGTTTTGTTTTTATTATTCATACAGTAGTAGCAAGCTGGTGGACTTCTGGAGGCATACTGGAAAAGCAGCTTCCTATTTTGAAGTTTTATAAAGAATATTAGTTTCCCTAAAGCAATCATGAGAAGTCAAGAAGCTCAAAACATTCTGCATAATGCCTGTAGATTATCCAAACACACATCTGTATCTATGGCCTGTTGCCTTTTTGTTTTTAAGAATTTCATGTATGAATACAATGAAGTATTATGAGAGCTATGCCCGATTTCCCTATCTGACTCCCCTCATGTTCTCCTTCCAACCTCATGCCTTCTGTTTTGATAATCATCACCAATTCCATTTACCAGTGAGTGCTGTGTAGAATGATTGTAACAGAGGTTAAAATTCTTTGTGAAATGCTTGACACTAGCATGTTTTAGTTCATAATGAACTATATCAAAGGACAACCGAAAGCACAAAATTAATTTGTTTCCCACATACCTTAAAATGTTACAGTTCTATCAAGATGTTACCAGTTGTTCATTGTACTGTTTTTAATAATTCTTATTGAAACATTTTAGTATCTTCCTACAACTTAAACTCCTTTTAGTTTATTTTCAGTATTATTTGATCATGGGATTCATTTTTAAGGATTGAGTAGAAGAAATGTGGTGTATTTTAATAAAATTCTACTTGGGCTGTAATGAAGAATGATGAACAGCTTCTTTGAAACAAAAGCCAAAAAAAGGACCCTGGTGTCTACTTTAGGAAATATTCTTTCAAAAAGTTTCATGGTATAAAACTCCCACTGTTAATGCTGTTGCACTGGCATTCAAACCTCTCGGGATTTGTGAGAAGTTAGGAAAGAGACTTTGGTGCCTCAGACACAGTTGGGAGTCTTCCAGGATGATAACAGAAGCAGACAGAGCTCAGTGAGGGTTACTGGGGACCAGATTGGGCTACTGCCCCACCCCCAATACACACACACACACACACACACACACACACACACCACACACCCACACAC